GGATTCTGGACTTTCTCTCATGCTTACTTAACCTATGTTATTAAAACACTCATACATAACTTTTTGCTTTTTATGTATTTTTCCTCTTTAACAATTAGATTGATTTCTGACTTATCTCATATATAATTTGGAAGCAGCAGTAAGTTAGATATATGGCACTACATTTTAATATTCTCAAACAGTTACTCACCAGAGTTTATTAATAACTCACACATTCTCAAAATACAAATCCTATTAAATCTTATTAAAATCTTGTTGTACGTTTCTAAGGCAGTTTCTTTTCTTTTTATATAGAGACAATGGGCCAGCATTATAGTGGATTTTTGTGGTGTTTTTGTATTTCATTTAAACTTAGATCAGGGATGGTCATCTCTCACTAGTTTTCACTTTCCTTTTTCCATAGATGTATAAGTACATATATAAAAGATATCTTTATTTCTATCTATGTATCTATGTCTATATATATTTATAAACATTAGATTTACTGTGTTCAATTTCCAACACAAACCACCAAAGAAATGAAACTAAAATTAAAGCCCATGGTGTCAAATGAAATTTTATTAAATGGTTAGAATTAATCCCTTTAAAATGTTGACTATAAAAATGTTTTTTAAATAAAGTTTTCTTTCATTAAAACTTTTGGTAAAAGTTCTCTTTTCATTCCTTTCGTCTTCTTTTGTTATTGCTGATGTAATCTATACAGGAAAGTCATGCTAGTTTAAAAGGTTTTTTCTAGTCAATTCCCTTGAATTTTGCTTAAATAAAATAATATATATATGTTTTTGGTTTGAGTGAATTTCTTACTGAATTCATTTCTCTTTCCTTTCCCTATTCCTTATTTTTCTCATTCAATTCCCTTAGATGATAATTTTTCAAAAAGCCTAGATGATAGTAGTGATGCTGAGTACCTATTTCTAGTCCCACCCATGTCAGTTAACTTTCCTAATATACATGTGTACATGGAAATGTCAATGAAACACAGTGTGTAACTATCTTAAACACACAAAACTGCTTTTTTTTAAGAACAGAGAACAGGAAGATAAAACAGGTCCTGCCTGGGTGTTTGGTTCCAGCGGGAAGGGGGAGGACATAAAGAAAGGGTGTAGAAGGATGAAAATGGTGAAATATTATGTCCTCATGTATGAAAATGGAAAAATGAGACTTGTTGAAACTATTCCAGGAATGGGGGAGGAAGGATAAAGGAGAATGATGGAGGGGGTGAATTTAACTGTGATATATTGTAAGAACATTTATAAATGTCACAATGTACCCCAGTACAACAATAATATGCTAATAATAAAAAAAAAGTTGTCAACTTTGTAGATGCTAGCTCTATTCATAACTTTATTATTACTTTGGTTTTGAGCTAAGGTGGGAGGTCTACATTCACCAAGTAGAACGGTGAACTTTTTAAAGCAAAGCTTCTAACTTTGTCTTAGTTGGAACATCAGAGAGAAAAACAAAACAAACAGCAAGTTTGTCAGCCGTATGTGGAGTATGGCTTAAGGACATTTTACGGGATCCTGGCTTTCCCTTCCACTTCCCATCCAGACATTTTCAGACCTTAAGGTTGAGGAGCACCTGAGCCACCAGCTCAAAGGTAGGCAGCAGAGGGAACCAGGCAGGACTCACTGGCAAACAAACTTCTTTTTAAAAACATGGTGTTGGAAGCTTTATTTTTCCTGCTTTGACCTGTAAGAACTTCAGAATCTTTGAAGGCTTGATTTTTAATATTTGGTATGAATTATTGTTGGAACCTTCTGGGCTAGATGGTCTCTTGCAGTGCGAGTCAACTTTTTCTCTCAATCTTGTTAATTTTAGGTGCAAATATAACATTCTTAGACACTTTCATTTATTGGTTTCTATAAAAATAACTTTTCCTTTAGTTTCTCCCTTTTAATTTCCATTTGTTTACTATCTCATTTCTGATTCTTGTTTCCATTCTCTTTCAATTTTTAGTAAGAAAAAATTGTCATGAAAATTTTTAATTTACTCTGAGATATAACTGTTGTGTTTCAATAAGAGTTATTATCTGTCTTTTAAATGCCAAGTCCCTTCCTCCATCTCATTTGATAGTTTTTTTCCAGGGTGGTCATGCTGTTTCTTTGCTTAGGTTCTCCATTTTGATAGAGATACTGCTATTGGGTTTTCTCTTTGCTCATCCATAGCTGGGGTAGATTTCTTTGGATTCTGCTTATATTAATAGTGGCTTTAACTCATGCATCTCTGCTTCTCTGTAGAGCCTCATTTGAGTTGGGTGTTGGTTGCTTTTGTTGTTCTATTACTGTTTTATTTTCTGCAACTTTTGGACCGAAAGGAGAAAAACTGCATGATTTTTTGATTCTTCCATTTCTCCATTCTAATGTCTTTAACAATTGGACTGAAGTAAACATTAGTTTTCTGGTTTTTTCCTCATTTTTAGATGTGAGGTGATTGCCTGTATGTGTGTATGTATAGGTACTGCCACACTGCTCTGTGATGCCAGTGGGTATGTAAATTACAGCAGAACATTTTAGGGAATGAATTGGGAATATATACCAACATTTCATTTTACAGACACATAACTGTGGACACAGCAATTCCATTTTAAGAAACACATCAGGAGTTGATGGTATGCAAATCTGTTAGCAATGACATTTATTTTAGAGTTGTTTGTAATGGAAAACCCTTTGGAAGCAATCTGCATACTAACGCTAAGTGTGTACTACATAAACGTTAAATAAATCGGTGCCCACAGTAAGTAAAATGGAGCCATTGGAAATGATGTATATACTTAAAGATAAGCAAAGGTAAGTTAAGTTTATACAATTGGAGAATATGTTTATTTACATAAAACGATGTCAGTAGTCTGAGTTCACAGTGATGTTAGTGATGATTATGCATGTCACTAATGGAGGTTTCCACTGCCTTTTGACATGTTTCTAAGAATAATTATGGATCACTTTTATAATCAGAAGATTAGTAACAAAGCTAAAAAAAGTAAGAATATTCTACACTCCCCATTGCCATCTTGAGAACAAGAGCAATTCTTCATTTAGCGCTCTTGACTGGTACTCTACAAAGTCCCACAGACAATTATCTCACTTAATCTAGCCAACAGCTCCATAAGGCAGAAATTAGTGTTTTTCACTTTCAGTTGAGGAACTTGAAAGGTTAAAATGTCCAATGTCACACAGTTCATAGAAGACAATGCCACACTGTGAACCCACTGCAGTCTGACTGTAAAATCCACCAATTTTCTTAGCGCCTCTTAGGATTGTCATATACATCTCAATGCTTTTACAGGTCACAGATTTAATTAAAAGCCTCATCATTAAAACTGCAGAACATCAATCCTTATTTCATGCTCTGGATATGAACTTAAAAGAGGATTCAAAGGACAGAACAACAACACATCTGAAGAGAAAATTATAAAAACAGAAGACGTTCAAATTTATACTTCAATGTAAATCACTGAACATCTTTTTAACAACACATTTCAGGAAAATGGTGGAAGAATTTTGGAAAAAAACAAGGTCCTGATCTTTGAATGATGGAGTATTAACGTTTTCAAACCATCAACTAAATAATTTAATTCACCAAAGAAGCAAACTTTTCTCACAATGTCCTCATAGTATGAAGATATTCTGAATTTTCATGTGGCTTTGCCCAATCATTGAATCAGTCACATATTGTGCTTTCATTTTTGTTTTGAAAAATATGTTCTTCAAACACCTTCTCATCATAAACACAAATTCCATCTTTCATTCATGTTATCGTCTACATCATTAAATTCTACACAGTATAGTGCTCAATCAAACCAATCCACTTTAATCTCAACAAGAGTAAAGTTAACAAATAAGAACAGCATCAACAGCATAAATGATGTAGCCTGAAAACTCAGCCATAGTGCTGGAATTTTGAGGGGATTAAGTCTAAAATAGCTATTTGTAAACTTTCTAACAGCTTTTCTCCCAGAATCTATTATCATTTGTTAAATAATTTCATAACAAGTCATGAAGTCAAAAAGTAACAAGACACCAAAGTTAGCAGTTTAATAGATTATCCAGACCTGTCCCCTAGTGCAAAGGTAAGACAATCAGGTATCAAGGATTCTAAAGTCAAAGCAATAAAATTAAGGAAGAACAGAATACTTAGAAGACACAATCTGGCATCAAGTCCTCATAGGAAACATTCACAAGCATTCAATATTATTTACTGCTTCACTAGCAAGAGAAGTTTTAAAAATTGTACTTGGACAAGTAGTGGATGATAAGGAATGACAATTATAATCGTCATTCTCTTCCTCTAATTTGGAAGGCAATAGGAGTAAAAATTTCCCAATTAAGATCACAAACACATGAGGATTTATCAACTAAACTCTAAGTATTAACAAAAATAAACTATCTTTAAAATCCATTTAAGTCCTAAGTTCAGATAAGGAATAATTTCAATTATTATTTTTTATCTATGATTAGAATAGTTATAGACTGCTAAGATAACACTTATTTGTAAAATAAGCAACAAGGACTTGATGCAAGCATAGCATTCTTAGACACAAGTTAATAATCCAGGACAAAGAGTATAAGATTCTGGATTCTGAGCAACCAAAAGCAAAAAATATTTGATTTTCTACTCACTCAACTAGCAAAACAAAATAAAAATACAAAACAAAAACCCACCACCAACAAAACCAGGAAATACCAGAGTATATCATGACATGGGTTTTCTGTACAACTGAGAAGGAATGCCAATTGTGATCCATTTGCTTTCCTTGTCTAGAACAACAATAATTCCTCAATGAAACAGTGAGCCTTAGGTCCACCACAGCTATATTGAAAAAACAAACCTGGGAGAACCCCACTAACATCTCACGAACACATTTAACTTATCCCCAAATCTCTGTGACTAGATGTCTATAAATATCTGCAAAAATCCCAAACATTATTTTAAAGGGAACAGCTGCACAAATTGGTGTCAACAGAAATATAAATAAATGGATTAAAAACTGGCTATCTAACCGTATATAGAGAGAAATCGTAATTGGTAGTCCATCTAGTTGGGGAGAGGTTTCCAGTAGGGTCCCACAAGGATCGATATTGGGTCCCATTTTGTTTAATATCTTTATAAAAAATCTGGAAGACAAAGTAGAGAATGTGCTAATTAAGTTGACTGATGCCATTGGATTAGGACTGGTGGCTAAAGTAACAGGATTTAGATAAATGCTACTGGTCCTTAGAAAGCATAAAGAAAGACCAATGGGAGAATTACTAATCAGGTGGATTTTTTAAAATGTATGTTTTAAAATTTTAATTACAAGTAGTAGAAATACATTGGAAAGAATTTTATGGCTTTGCAGTACAAAAGTTTATTAAGCACAATGGATAAAGACAATGCAGAGTCACAAACCCTGAATGCAGAATAAGAACACCCTCGAATGGGGATCTTTCTGGTATAGCTTTATTCAGAAAACTGGTGGTTGTGGATTTCTCAACACAGGAAGAATACTGGAGGCATTTCAAATGTGCAATAACAAGGTTATGAAAGGGAAGAATAGCTAGATTCTCAAATACTCTCAGACTTAGTAATTGGCAGAAAAATAAGCCAGGAAGCATCATTAAGTTAACCAGGGAAGGAAATCAATCAAAAGCAAATTCTAATAGAAAGGAGACACACACACACACTCAGACACACACACACCTACACACACTCAAATGCAAGGGACAACAGCAAAGACTATTAACACATGGATAGATATATATTTTTCTTTTTCTTCTTTATTTTTATTTTCATTTTTTGGGGGGAGACAGGATAATAAATTTTGTACTGCTGCAGAGGACACTTGGAAATATATTTAGTAGTCCTCATGTAGAATACTAAAATCTTACTATTCTACATCTTAATCGTCTCATGAAGACAAGTGTGAAGGTGTCACTTGCTTACAGACTGTCACGTGGAGCCAGGTCAAATGTTCTTAGAGAAGTCAACCAAGTTGAAAATATATATGTAACTAATGCAGACTGAGCATTTTGATTGCATTTAAATCTTTCATTGTTCAAACAACGGGTATACACTAAGTGTGGAGCACCTCTCATAACTTTGGTAAACCTTGCCATTCATCCTTGCTTGTTGCATTTTCCCTCATGACTTTATTTTTCATGTCACTTAAATGAGAGGATAGGAATTGTTTGTAAAGCTGCAAATTCCTTTCTTCAAAAGAAAAAAAAAGTTAAAATCGAGTATGGTAGTAGTGCATGACTATAACTTCTGCTACTCAGGAGGTAGAGACAGGAGGATCGTGAGTTTGAGGTCAGCCTGCACAAAGTTAGCAATGTTATCCCAAAAGAAAGAAACATGGGGGGTGGGAACCTCACTTAAGTGGCACAGCTCTTGTGTAGAATGCAGGATGCTCTGGGTTTGATCCCAGGGTGCACATGCACACACACAAACATACACACCCATATACAAACACACAAATTAAGAGAAACTAATATAAGAAAAGACAGGCACTGGTAGGCAGTGCCAGCTTTTCATTCCATTCCTCCCCGACTTCAGGACAGAACACAGTTTAAGAATTACTTTAGATGATCAGGCATACTCCTTCCATCTCTGGTGAACTAGCAATGGGGAAAAATTCAACCCTTCTCCTAGCAACTGATTTTCTCCATAGTAGACAACAATACTCAGTTGATTATATGTGCCCAATCTTGGAAAAAAATAACTTTAGAATTACAGTTGAAAAGAAGGGGCATTCTTGATTTAAAAAATAGTGGTATTATTCATGATGCTGACACACAAAAAAGCATTGTACAATCAGAATCCAATGTGGATTTCCTCTAATCTTTCATGCTTGGCTGAAAAGGAAACCATGAGAATCTGGAATATTCCATGGGCATCTTTAGTTTTAATAATCACCATGGCTGTAAGTATTTCATCCTAAGAAACAACACTAAAGTTTGCTACTAATTTTATAGCTAGCACTCACTGAAAAATAAATTCCTTGCTTTGACTTAACAGTTTCAGATGTGTTATTGTTTTCTATGTATCATTCTACTTTGGGAATATGACTGAATAAAACACAAGCAAGCATTGCAAATAATCCAGGAGATGGTTAATTTTATTTTAAAAGCAATAATGCTTAACACATATGATATTTTATGATTTTATAGTATTCAGCACTTACTGAGTGCTTACCAGGTACTGAGAATTATGTTACTGTCTTTATACATCATCATTATATCTAATTTTATGATAATAACATTACGGCAGAGGAATTAGCCCCCTTTTCACAGATGAGGAAACTGAAGGGCCAGATAGGCTGGTTTTGTCTATTGTTACACAGCTAGTAAGTAAGAGGGCAATAATGAACTTGATTGACTCCCAAATATTTTATAGAACCATTGTGCCAAGAAGCTACTTTTGCTAAAGAATAACACAAAGAATTTTCTTCTGGGTTTTGTCTTCTCATATTTGAAATCAGGGTGAGAGATGCCTTGGGCTGGACAAGCCTCTGCTATGGGAAACTGTCTTCTAGACTGTGGGATGTTTGGCAGTACCCTGTCAACACACTAGCGTCCTTAGCAACAGCCCTCTCCCAATCTGACAACTAAAAATGTCTCCTCACAACTCTAAGAATTCTCTGGGATGTAAAACCATCCCTTTTACAAAACCACTGTAGTGGAAGATTTCAAGGTATATTTTTTTGGTCTCTTGTATTCTATCACCTGAATTATGGGACTCCCTTCAGTCAGGAGGATGTGCTTTTCACTACTGTAAGGTTCCTGCCCAGCCTTTTCCTACCTCCATCTCAGTACAACTGAATTTAGAACTTTGCAGGTTTCCATTATGCAAAATCCCCACCACCTGGATCTTAAACTTACATTTAAATGCAAATTAGTATGAAAAATAGAGTAGATGAAAGTGAAAAAAGATCAGATGTTATCTTATTAAGTCAGCCTTGCATTAGACAATTGTTAAACTCATTTCAAACTGCCATCCTGTAAGATAGCTTTATTTATTCATTCCTTTTTCTTTATTAAGGTTACAATATCCAGCAAATCATTAAATGACTTTACAAAGTACTCTATCATTTGACAGCTGAAGAGAGCCCTAAGACTAGGTTGGCTTTTGCGATCCACCAACCTACAGAATCCAAAGATGTGAAGTGTTGGGCTTTGGAAAGAAATTAAAGATCTCCTATACCTCATGTTTTATTGGCTTTCACATAAGATTTGTGTCATTAATTTCATCTGAGAAAGAAGTACCTCTGATTAAAGACTAGTCCAAAACCAAATATCTATATTGAGTACAAGTGGATCAGTATCTTCCATACAGTCTGCTCCAAATAAATATCAGGGGAAGAGATTATTTGTGTGTTATTTCTGGAATTAAACTGAAGTTAGAAGCATTAAAATATCAATGAAATAATCAAGTATTGTTATGATTAATAACTCCAGATTGTTTAAAAGTATTGCTGTTTTCCTATGAACTGTTTTGAACCCAACATTACACACTACTTTATAAACACTGTTTAAGACAGATATAACTCAAGGCCTCATTTTGCTTATCTATTTCAAAGTTTCTAAATTTAGAGTATGAGGAAATACATACACACTTATTCTGTTTAATGCAGAGAGTTCTATAAAAGGAAGCCAGATGAAGTTACATTTGGGAATTAAAGAGGGCTTGCTCCATGGGGACTGTTGTCAAAACCTGAAAGTGATGATTCTTAAACTTGGTTTGTAAATCAAAATAATCTTGAATAAATTTAAAGAAATATAAAGTAAGAATAAAATGTATTATACTCATACATGGAAAAAATTAGGTAGGTGAGTCTTAGGTGATGAAAGTTTGGGCAACCCTATCGATAATGAAAAGGGCATTCAAGTTTGGGTAATGAGTTTGGGCTCTATGTCTCCCTCACTAATTATCTGTGTGATTTGAGGGAAGTTACCCATTCTTTTCCATGGGCCTTGGTTTTCTCTTAAGTTAAACAAGGCCATTGACCATATTACAAGCATTTATCTTTGAGTTTAAGAAGCAAGGAGGGCTTTCCCTCTGTATTTACCTTGTTGACATCCAGGCGCATCTTCTCATTGTTGGCACTAGCAGCCTTCTCAGCTGCTTTCTTTTGGCGTTGGGGTCCTCTCCCAAAGAAAATGTAGTTGACCAATGCATATTCCAGAAGGGCCATGAAAACAAAGACAAAGCACCCCATTAGGTACATGTCAATGGCCTTCACATAGGGGATTTTAGGGAGAGTTTCCCGGAGGTGGGTGTTGATTGTGGTCATTGTTAGCACAGTTGTAATTCCTGAAAAAAGAGAGAAAGTTAAGAGTAATAACTTCTTATTTCCTTTCAGCCTCCACAATAGCTGGAAAAGTTAATTTTACTCATCTATATATACCACAACATATTTATTGATCACTTTTCAAATAACAGTCCAGTGATTGCCCTTGGAGATATGTATAAATTAATGTATAGTGTATATAAATCATGCTAGAGAATTCCTTTAATTGTATTTTTCTATTTATAATTAAATATGCCGTTGAGGACTAGAAATGTAAATTAAGTGCTATGATAGACATGTGTTTAATATCGGAATTAAAACGGAGAAGACTGTAGTTTAGCTCTCTCTTTTGGTGGGGACAATAATCAGGAAATGAAGAGATTTCTAAGCTGATTCCTCAAGAATAAGTAAGCATTATCCAGGCAGCAAAGCATTGGAGGTAAAGAGTTAAGGTAGACCTTAGGATGCAGGTGATAGGGAGAACTTTATATAAAGGGTTTTTTTAGCGGGGAGAGTTCATGGTCCATAAAAGTGATTTCAAGAAAAACATGATGGGTACATAATAGGGTAGGATGGAAAGAATTGTGAGAAAAGTGGAGATTATGAAAGGGCACATAATGGGTACATATGAGGGAGTTTAAACTAAAAATTAAAAGCAGTGTGAAGCCCTGGCCAGTTTTAAGCAGAGAGGCATATGAACAAACAGAGTTAGGGCAACCACTCTGGTAGTAGTATGGATGGAGAGAAACATGCAAGACAAGAATAAATAATGCAAGTTAAGAGGTGTTCAGAATAATCCATGTAAATAAATGATGGAGGTGAAGCAAATTAAAATAATGACAGTTCTGAGATTAATGCATGTATGATATAGATGACATACATGAACTTTTTGTTAATATCGGGACTGGAAGTGGCAGATAACAGGAGGCAGGAGTCATAGTTCTCATGCCTTTGGATTGGGTAACTAAGCACACAACACCCGGAGGGATAACATACAAGTATCACAAGATTCCTTGTGAGTTCACCCTAGGTCGGGCTGTAATTGCTGGTCCACTTGAGTAGGTATCTCTGACAGTAAGGGAGTAGTTACTCTCAAAGCTGTAATTGGAAGGTAAAAGCATTGGGAGTCCAGAGTCCTGGGTATAACACACTTCAGCTTTGTAGCAAAACAGTGATGTGAAAATACTCAAAGCTTAGCAGTCAAGAGCACACAGATGGGAAGCTTCGAACTGGGATCTTTCTAACTCCAAAAGCTACTCCCTTAGACATTATCCAATACCACATCTCAAAACTTAAAGTCATCTTTATGACTCCTTAGGGATGTGGTTCTGATTTGATTTTATCTTTCTAATAATAATACCATGACTTTTATTTAGTTTTTACACAGCCTCATGAAAGGCTATAGAAAATATAAATTTGAGCCTTGCTTTTATGCTTGATAAAGTGTCTTATTGTTTGAATACATTCTTTGTATTAGTCATTTTGAAACACTTCCAGTTTCATTTTCCTCTTTATCAATTCAACTACAGATTATCCTGCACCAAATATACACTAAAACTGATAATGTTGATTTTATTATTGATCTAAATCTCATTTTAAGATATTTCTGAACCTAACAACAAATTGCTCACATAAAAAGATATTTCAAAAACTTTCTTTTAAAAGATCAATGAATCAGTCATTTATTGCTCCTATAAGAGATATAAAATTAACATCAGATTTTAACTTTAAAGAGGATATTCACAAATTGTATTCATTCTTCCATTGAGCAAGTATTTATTGGATACCATCCTGGGCAGGTTATTCAAATATAAAACCAGACATGGGCCTTTCTCCAGTGCATCTCCCGGTGCCATGTGTGGTGGGGAACCATCACAGAGCTAAGCAAATGTGACTTGTAATTGTGGTTAATCTACACAGGTGAGTCTGATTCAGTCCTTGAGGTCATTCCTTCTCCTCCCTTTTTGAGGCATCACAATCTAATCTTAACAGCAGTCAAGTGATTCTTTTAAACCTGAAATCAAATCATGTTTATGTCTTTGCTTGATGGGTCTCTCTTTATCATGGTTTGCAAATCCTTCATGAGCTTTTAGTCACCTCTCCTGATATAATCTTTGCCACTTCCCCGATTTTACTCCATGTTAGCCTCACTCGCTTCCTGCTAATCTTAGCTTGTTCTTACCTCAAATTCCTTGAGTATCAAGAATAATATTCCTGGAATATTATTGTTCAGATATCTACTTCAAAAAGATATTTATCTTCTTGAAGTCTTTGCTCCAGTGAGTATGTCTGAGTGAGGTCACCTTGATTATTCTAAACACTCACTCACATACCCAAGCTCTCTACCTGGATTATTTCTTCTACAGACTTACCCTATGATAGATACAGATATAATTTGCATGGTTATTCAATTTTACTGCTAGAATCAAATTTCCAGAAGAGGATGTCTGTATTTGAAATGCCTACTCTTTTTAGCACATATTAAATGTTCAACAGATATCTTTTGAAAGAATAAGTGAGTGACTTTTCTAAGGAAGTAATGACTGAATTTGGACTCCTGATGAAAATTCAACATTTCAATATTTGAAAAGTAAGAGTCAGAATTCAAAATAATGAAGAGCATGTAAAAAGTTACAAATTTACTTTATCTGTACTTACTAACAAAAATGTTCAAGAAATATAATTTATTCTCCTCTTCTGTATTTGAACAGAGGGACAACATCAGGCATATGGTAGGCAATGCATGAATGGTTTCTTAACATTCTGATCCTGTTGTTTCCTGTCCTCTGCATGCTGCTCCAAAACATCAATAACATTTTAGAATCCTTTCTGTTTATCCATTTGCTACATACCTTATACCTCCTTCTCTCTTTCTCAAGGGGGGAAAAGAAGGTGGAAGGGAACCCATCCTTGCTACAGAAGCAAAGATATAAACTGAACAATTACACAAGCAATATTACATGAAATATGTTTCAATAAAAATAGCAAACTGACGAAACTAATTGCATTACTAATGACTATATGGTCAGCTAATTTTGACATGGAACAGCTTTAATTTGTGTTTAATTGATTTAATGCTGCATTAGATCACTCAAAGTCTGATGATTAAACACCTGTAATGTGCAAGGTACAGTGTAGTCATGCATCACAAATGCCTAGGTAAGGAAAGTGTGTGTGTGTGTATAAGTGTCCACACACACCCAGAGTCAAACTCTACAAGCAATCAGAAAATGTCCTACCTAAAGCCACTCGAGCAGCTGAAGCATCATAATTAATCCAGAAGGAGACCCAGGAGAGGATGGTGATCAGGATGGAAGGCATGTATGTTTGTAGGATGAAGTAGCCAATATTTCTCTTAAGCTTAAAGCTGAGAGACAATCTGGGATAGGAACCTAGAAAGACAATTTCAGAACATCACCACTATTAATCAGTATTTATAGGATACTTTTCATGAGAGATCCAAAATCAATTTGCACATCTTTCCTAAATTCAATTTAGGTCCTAGTGAAGGACATTTTTTTCTCTGGAGAAGGAGTCTGAGAACACTGGGGTTTTAATTAGCAGGAGTTACTCAGTGTGGAATATATTCTGTCCTCACCAGCAATTAAAACAATCCCTGCTCTTCTCTGCTCAGGCTCACATACCACATCAAAGATATTCATTCCCTGTAGCTGTGATGACAAGAAAACCTTGGATAGCCACTTTGCTCATTCTCTCAATTGTTTTTCAGTAAGTTTATCCTATAAATTTTCTCTTATATAATAAGGTTGAATGCTCTGATCACAGCAAGAAAAAAAATCTCTTCCCAAGCCACAGAACGCATTTAACTCTGTGATTAGTGGTGAGGCTTCAGGGAATGCAGACTGATGTAGGTTTTCACTTGTACGCATCTTTTTTTCCCTAATAATTTCATTGCTTCTGTCAGAGTGCTAAAGGAATCCTTGGCCCACTAAAATATGGAAAATCACTATTTTTGAGGACATACAACTAAAAAATTACAGATTCTTGCTGAGGGTGTAGATCAGGATAGAACACTTGTTCAGCCACCACCATGAAAGAGAGAGAGAGAAAGAGAAAGTTTCTGAAAGCTGGGTTCTTTGGTTGTGGTAGTCTGGGGAGTTACCCTTTAGACAAGACATGAGTGAGCATAGTCCCCAATTATAAAGAGACAGAACAAAGTTGTACTGGTGAGTTTGTCTGAGGGGACTGCAAGAGGCAGGAGAGGGAAAGAAAATGTTAGAGAATGAAAAAAATTGAAACAACCCATCTACATATGAATATAATGCTCTGTATTACATAATGCACTGTACAGTGAGCTCTTGAATATTAGAGGAACATGGTGATGGAGAATGAGCAAGTAAATGGGGGACGGTAATTTGATTAAAGCATGATATATAGAGGCCTGAAGTACCAAGGCAAAACCCTTTTCACTATCAATGTAAACTTAAAAATAAAGGGCAGGGGGGTAAAATAGGTCTTTTCCAGGGATGGGTATCAGTGGGTGAGGGAGGGGGCACAAGGAAGGGGCAAATGAGGGTGAATATGGTGGATGTATTTTGTATTCATATATGAAAATAGAAGAATAAAATCTGTTGAAATTGTTCTAAGAACGGGGGGAGGAGAGAAGAGGGAGAATGATGGCAGGGGTAAATCTAAGATATGTTGTAAGCATACATGTAAATATTTTAGTGTATCCTCTGTAAAATGTTATATGCTAATAAACTAAACAAAAAAACTTCCCATTGGTAAATAGCAGGGGCAAAAATATTCTCATTATTTAAAAGAAATCTTTGTTTAGTCTTTGTGGGCTATGCCAAGTGTCTTAATGTGAAAATAACAACATTTTAATTTTTGTGATAGGGTCTAGTATGTAAGTTCTAGTTCAGGCTGGTCTAGAACTTGGAATCTTCCTGCCTCTGCCTCTTGAGTGCTTGGGTTGCAGGCGTATGCCACCATGTGCAGCAAAGGAAAGAATATTTTAAACAGAAACTTATTTCCATACAGTTTTAGAGGATTTAGAAGATCTCACACTTAGGAAAGATTTTTTTTTTAAGTTAGAAGTAACTTTGTATTTTTAGCACATCATACAGCTCTTGCCCTTGTAGAAAAGATTTGTATGGGTTCCAGATGTAGCAACAGGCCCGCAGAGCTACGTCTTCTAGAGCAACAGTTCTTTCCTGGGACACAACCCTGAGAGAAGTGAACCGTTCTGAGAAAATGTGACCTTTAACCCTTTTTCTTGATACAAACCTGTGGAAAAAACAACCTTCTTGGTGATAAGTTTGTAATCTACAATCGAGAACTGAGGAAGCTCAATCTTCGTTACTCCTGTGACTGCATTATCATCACCCCGCCAGTAAAACTCAATGTCATCGGTTGTATATCCATCTGTAAAAAGAAACACACACACAGATACATAAGACAGAAACAAACACACACAACAGAAAGAACACTGGCTTAGAAGATGACCTTTAAAGACAGAAGACACAGCTGAAGGCTGTGATGTGTTAAGTGGCATCTGAAGTCTATTACTACATTTAAACCTCACACATCTCATGAGTGAAGTGTAACTAGACCAACATAAGGTGCCATAGGCATAGAGAAATTAACAGCAAACGTCCTGTTATAACTGGGAAGTGATTCAGTTACAGCTTGAACCTGGATTTTTCTCGCCATGAATCTCACTCTATGAAAAATGATCACATTATCACATAACACTGGACTGTGCTCTAAGAAGAGACAACAGAAGGGAAAAATTATTTAAGTTATCAGTTTTGTGCTAAAAGCTATCAAGTTATTCCTTCTAATATAAAATATTTGAATTATGATGCATTTGGATTTCATGTCAGAAGAGATGTGATCATGAAATCAGCAATCAGTTTTTCAATATTCAAATTCATGGTCTTCAAGTCTGATTCCATATCTAATCAAGTTTGAAAAATCAAAAAACCCTCAAATAATTTGATTTCAATAATTTGGAGGAGTAGGTATAAATGTATTGTGTACATAGTATGGGTACAGTGCATTTTGAAGGTATGTTCCCACTCACGCAATACTACTTTACTAAACACCTGTGATGCTCATCAGTGCACAGTCTCCGGTAAAAGAATTCTGAATAATAAGGACAGGTTCTCTGGTATCATACTACTTTCAATCCTTGAGTCTGAGTGTAATTTCAACAAATGAGCACAGACATCATCCTAAGTAATGAACCAATGTCTAACTGCAATGAATAGCATATGTCAGACTAGTGCTATACAGTACACTTTAATAGTATTTTACAAACTTATTCACTCTCCAAAATATTCCTCAAGTAAGAGCAATGATTGTATTTGTATACACTTACATGTGAAGACACCATAGTCATTCTTCAAATAACTTTTGCATGTGGATAGTTGAATGTTACTTGTCTGATAAGTAGACAGGATGGATGCTGCCCTCCACCCCAATTACAAAAATAGTGAAAGAAATTAAAGACTGTTGAAATTCTTTGCCTTTTGCTGCTACGTGACTAATTAGTGTGACAGGGATAACTAGAATGTCAACCTTTTGACTCTTAGCTGCAGAGGATGTTCAATAAACTACCTCTCTTTCCTCCAAAGAGAGGGAGTTAAATCTCCAAAGACAAATAAGTATAAGAAATTATTTTTCACAGAACAAGGATACCCTCTATTTGAATGGCATAGCTCAGGATGACAACTTTTTTAGAAATCTGTAGTTCTGTTTATTACTAAGGGCAGTCACTTTTATTTGGGCAGAAGTACAGTTTTTGTTGAAGAATTATGGTACATTTGTGCTTTTGGAACCACAACTGTAGGAGTTTTGGATAAAAGCTAATGATTTTTTAAATGCTTGTTTACTTATAAAACTATACTGATAGCAGAATTATGGAGTTTTAATTGAGTATTTACAACCAACATTTTATTAACACAATCTATTCTAGAACACTTAGTTTTGTTATACATATTTGTTTTCATATAAAACTTTGATTTTAAAGTAAATTTCAGTCTCAAGATTTTTTTTGTACATTCTAAGTTAATGATGCAGTAAGAGAATTCATAAAAAAGAGCTCCTCACATCCTATTAGAATTATTTATCCAATCCTAAAAAGTGAGGTGCCAATCCCAAAGGATGACTGCACTTTTCTAAGGCTTCAATTTTCCTGTTATTATTGGTCATGAAAACCCTTGGTCCAGGCTGATGTCTCAAATGCAATCCAATTTCTCATTAGTTCATTATATGGATTTCTTAGTTATGAGACAGTTTAGAGTCAATGACAATCCTACCTTTGATAAAACAGTTTAATATAACAAAACGGGCAATGGCTTCTACAATCAAGCAAGGCAGTTAGAAATGCATCATAATATTGAATTTGTAACACAAAACATGAAAAAGGGTATTTGTGAAATAAAAAGGTAATCATGTCTCATGAAAGCAGTCCTAACCAGGATTGTCCTTGACTCCTCCCACTGTGCTCTTATGCAGTTTCCGATGAAACAACAATGGCTACTTACTGCTTTAATGGTCAGGCTTTGTTATGCAGACACCAATCCTTTTATAGAAGGTCAAAGCTTGGCTTTCATCATTTCGTGCACCTAAAAATCCACCTGAGATTCTTATTCAGCTACTCAGAGACAGGCTTGGGGATCTGATTTCTTTAAATAAGCATCTCAGATAATTGTATTTTTTTTTTTTTTACAGTAGTGGGGTTTGAACTTAGACCTTCACACTTGATTGCTTGAACCAAGCCTCCAACCCTTTTGCTCTTGTTATGTTTGAGAAGAGTCTAGCTTTTTAACTAGGCTGACCCAGACTGCAATCCTCCTATTTATGCTTCCCACAGTAGCTGGGAGGACAGGCATGTACCACCACACCCTACTTTTTCCAATGAGTTAAGGTCTCATGAACTTATTTGCCCAGGCTGTCCTGGAACCATGATCCTCCTGATCTCAGCTTCCCAAGTAGTTAGGATTTTAGGCAGGAGCCATCAATACCTCGATACCTGTCTCTTGCTCCTACCATAGTGTCTGACATACAGTTGCCATTATAGAAGTATTTTCAAAATTAATTTTATAAATATCTAATAAGAACCTTTAAGAATAACCCAGAGGATCTTCATTATGTATTTCTCCCTATGTGGTAGTGCTTCTTAAATTACCTTCTCTTTCTTTGTACTTTGCTCTCTCAACAATAAATCTGGACAATAATAATAATAATAATAGCTACTTTCCAGAGTTGCATTACAAGAAAAAACAGAAACATTATATAATGCTTAGAACAGCACTGGGCAGATAATGGTCAAAAATTTAAGGAAGAAACAAACAAAAATATGTGATACGCTTTAAAAAAAATAAGAATTATTCAAAAGGAAAAACAATGACTGGGGAGTGGTTCAATTGTTACAGCACTTACATAATAAACAAAAAACCCTGAGTTCAATACCTAGGATCACTCCCCCCCCAAAAAAGAAAACATTTCGTTGTGTAAGCATTTGTTGCTATTTCATGAATATCAACAAGGCATTGCAAATGAGAAACTTAGCTATTTGCTCACGTTTAGAACTCTCCAAAGTGCTTAGAAATTGATGCTAAAACATTTAAAGGTTATTTTACTGCCTGAGGTTTTGGACTCCAACACAAGGGTATATTGCATGTACTTCTTGGCTACTGATCTTAAAGAAACAAGTCAGCTTGTTGCGGCAATATTGTCAGAGGAGAAACCAAGCAACACTCGGAGGAGTGGAGAACTCAGATTTTAATTTTTACGCTAGCGGGCCCAGACTTATACCAGTGTCTGAGCCCCGAACAAAGGATTCACAGGATATTTAAAAGGCAGTGCAGGGTATCAGGTTACAAGGAATGTGCTCTCCCATAAAGTAGGGCTAGTAGTGGGTTAGAGACCTAAGGTTTCGATAGGAGCAGCGGGGGAGGTCTGCTTTGGAAAGTTTATTTATAAGTGGAGACAAAGGAAGGCAGGAATGGGTGCTTATCTCTGCATGGTGCCTTTCATCTTGGTCCCAAACTTTTGCATGGCTCTAATGGGCAATTCCTCACAGCTCTGTCCGAGGTTACAGCTTTTAATTGACAGTTTACCATGTTTTACAACCCTGTTTCAAGGCTATCTTCCTCTTCAAGCTTACTATCATTTTGGTTAACTTCGTGTAGAATGCTCCCAGAGAAAGCAGATATAGCCTTCTGCAGCATCAGTTTCTAAAACTGAATGACCAATAGTCATGACTGAGTCATGGTGGTCAAGTTCAGAAGCCAGTTCAATATACCAGGTAGGATTAACTAAAAGCAGACCTAGCTTTCTTCTCACTTTTAATCTTCTCTGAAGGAATATTTAGCAGTTTCTCAAGGTGATTAAAAACTAAAAGAAAACATATGCAAATATATGACCTAACTTTTATAGCTTTAATAATAATAATGAATGAAATATAATTAGTTTCCTTTCAAATGATATCAGAAGGAGGAGATGCACTGAAGTTACTCATTAATGCATTGCAAATCAAACTTATCTTTTATATTTTATTCATGGGATTCCAGAAACTAAGTCATTAAATTGTTTTGTATTGCCATCACCAAAAACATAACCCACATAACAAATTCAGATAGGACCTGAATATATCAAAATACAAATTTATTGACATCACCTGGAGGAATTAAAGTGATATATATAACAAGTCTCTGATCAGGAAAGACAAATCTGTACATTTATAAATCTATAGAGATTATGAGTGATAAGATATATTCTCTTTCAGTGATTGCTAAAAATAAATACGTACCACATGAGATCTAAGTAGTAGAAATGCTATTTAAACACATTCACCTAACAGTTGAGCACATTCTTATAATTGATATTATTTTATTATATAATGTGTTTTAAAGTTTTTCTTTCTTTACCATCAGTCTACATAGCAATCTTATTATCTAGTAAATATTCCATTGTACAATAATTTTGCTGTGCAAAATACATGAACCTGAACTGAGACATTAAACCATGGGTACTGATAAGAACAGTGAGAATTGACGAATTGCTGATGCCTCCCATTTATTTTTCTAGTGGGAAATTAAAAGTGACTTATTGTTCTCCCATTAATTATTTAAACTTTCTTCTTCAACTGGATTGGTAAATGTTCTAGGGTAATTATCTGCTTTGTACCTTCCATGGTGTCCACCATGACAATGGGCACTTAGCCTTGCTTTAACTTATTGGAGATATTTTTCCATAACCAGTTGGCAATGATCAAGAATCACTGGTCATGGCTATTGTTCATAAAAGGCATGGATGGTTTCACATTTTAAAAAATTTTCTGCCATTTACATGTATATTGTAGTACTTTAAAAACCTCCTGAATGAAGTACCTAATTATTTAAAAATTAGCATGC